TTGTTTAAGGGAGCATATTAGTATACTATACTGATATAGTTAGTGTAGTCCAGTTTAAGGGAGCTTATTAGTATAGTGGGGTGTGTTTTGTAATTCCTTAGAGTTTATATGTTTGGCACAGGATGTCTTTTGTAAACTCTAAAAACTTAGAGATTAAACTCTGCGTTTTAGTCCAACGGCTCTATATAAATTAGACGCCTCTTGTAACTGATTCAGTTAATAAAATTTTCAAGAAAGTTTCAGCTCGAATCTGTTTCTTCCTCTCTTGCTCTTAAAGCCATTCAAGATTACATCATAATGATAATATAGGGTTTTCTTGTATAGTTATTATACTTTTGTATGAACATGGTAATGTATTCACTTACCATATACAATTCAATAGAAAAATAATTTTGTTAATCTTTTATTCTTTTTCCTTCAGGCATACTTAGGTAGTCTCTATTTCCTCTCTTGCCTTTCTCAAATTCTGACAATATTGTTTCAAAATTCAAAATATGTAGATTTATTGTTTGGGATCAAAGACAGTTAATAATTATATAGACCTAAGATGAATTTTATGTCAAGATGAGAGTTATTGTGGTGAAATACAAAGTGGAATGTGGATATCATGTTGCCTAATTTAATGAGATTACACAATTATGATAATATTGTTTTATCTTATTTAGTGAGATTACATCATTATGATAATATTGTGTTTCCTTGTATAGTTATTGTACCTTTGTATAAATAGGATAATGTATTCACTCACCATACACAATTCAATAGAAAAACAATTTTGTTAATCTTTTATTCTTTTTCCTTCGGGCATATTCAGGAAGTCTCTGTTTGCCTCTGCTGCCTTTCTCAAAATCTGACAATATTGTTTCACAATTCAAAATATGTAGATTTATTGTTTGAGATTAAAGAAAATTAATAATTATCTAAGAGTTATTATGTTGTTGGGCAATATTATCCCAGCAATACCGTTGGATCATTGACACTTTGATCATTAGAGTGATCTAAGGGTCAGTATAGGAGAGAGAAATGTTACTCGTGCTGTAGTATCATTCTTTCAAAATTATTCAAAATATCGCACTAATGACAAATGGAAGTGGTGTATGCTTTTTATAGTATATGTACATTAATATTTTAATATAAATTTTCTTAAAATAAAACATTATATGTTTTAGAAAAAGAAAGATACTACAATAGAGAAAATATTTAAACATAAATTTGAGACTTAATTACATTAGAAGGTATTTTTTTTTTTTTTCCTGTTAAAGGTACCAAACTATCATTTATTTCGATTGAAGGTACCGAATTTTATGTTTTTTCCATTGAAGATACTAAACTTTCATATTTTTTCTTAAAGAGAATGTAAATGGTTAAGTTAAGCGTAATTTTTTTTAATTAAAATTTATAACACAATCAATACAAAAACTAAAATAAGTGATTCTATTGATTAATTTGTGACTGTTATTAATGTAGTATCAGTTGAAGGTATAAAGATGTTGAATTAACCCCTTCAACCATTAACTGAATGATAGACTTAAAGCTTAAGCCAAGTGAGTTGCATACTTCTCTAGTTCTAGTTTGGTACTGATGTGAAATACAGTTAAACTTCGATAAATTAATATTCTTGGGACTATGAAAATTTATAATTAATCGATACATTATTTAATCGTGTAAATTAATAAATTATTGATTTATTAAGACATTCTTTATTTTCTTTTTCCAAAACATTAAACTTAATGCATGTACATATTTCGTATAATTAATATAGTATAGGGAATAACAGTTAGAAATAATATCATCAGCCTTGCTTATAACTAGGAGTTAATGCAATATAGGGAATAACTCATAGTTAATTTGGTATAGGGAATAGCCCAAAGACCTCCTAATTGAGTCATGTATATATATGATTTTGATGTATAAAAATATTATTAATTTATATATCAAGTGGTATCTATATGTTTTTTTTTAATGTATTATATTATAAATTTAGTGAATTATTAATTCATCACATTGGTCCCAAGTCGAGACTGGCCAAAAATATTATTTAATTAAGGGTTATTAATTTATTGAGTATTAACTTATCGATGTTAAATTGTATTTATATAGAACAACTTCATTCTATAACCATGATGATGTGGTGAGACTTTTCGTATTAAAATTAATATATATTATCACAAATGTGAATGTTGCTTTTAATTGGATGATGTCATCTTGTTATAATGATGATTTGGTGAAATCATCCCACAAGGATGGCCATATCTGACTTATTAACCTATTATAGGTTGTTTGTGTAATTGTCATGATCTTGTTTTGAGTCCTACACTATCTTTTTCTTTCTGCCAATGTAGGCACACTCTCTAAAGGTGATCACATTCACAAGTGTGAGCACTTTAGAGTATGTGTGCTCATAATGCATCTAGCAAATATTTTTCCTTAATCACACATCACGCACCCGTTTTACTTTTTGGACAATATTATTCCTTATTGATATTCTGTTTTGTGTCTTTCTACTTGTCCACTTTCTATTCATTGTGTGAGAAAAAGAATTTTACTTTGTTTGTGGTCTCAAAGATTCTTTTCTAAAAAGCAAAACACAAAGGTTTTACTTTAACTTTTTTGCCCCCCAACCATAATCACCTTGTTCTCTATATATTCATACTTTTCGGGTGTCTTCTTTAAGAAACTTATTTGCCTCTGATTCATCACTGAATATCCTCTAAGGTTTTTGTTTTCATCTATGGTTTCTCATGTGCTTTGGTTGACTTAAAATTACCTTTTTCACTCTTCCTTGTGTGATGACTTTGGATGTTTGATTCCATGGTGATGAGAGCTTGTGTGTAAGTTGCTGTTCCGAAGTTGATTCTTCATTGTTGAAACTTGAGAGGAGCTCAAGTACAACCTGATGGTCTCGTGTGTGAAGCTTGCTATGGTGGCTTAAAGTTCAATCGAAGAAGATTGATGTGTTGAAAACAGGGAATGTTTTGCAACTATACTTTTCTTGCTTTGTATTTGAACTCATAAATTTACATAGTGGATTTGCTTCTTCTGAACATGGTCCCATGGATGTAGACATGTTGCCGAACCATGTAAAAATGAGTGTGTTCTTTTCTTGCCTTGATTGATGTTTCATTTATGCTTTGAACAACTCTTGTGCACAATATGAACAAGCAACCCATTCCGTATAAGTTTTAATCACTTAGTAATCCCTTAAAACTCTCATAGGTGTTTAAGTGCTCTAGCATAAGCAAAAATTTTATGGAAGTAGTTATAAACTCATAAAAAAAGCATCCTTAAACTTTTTTTTTTATTATTAATTATTTTGAACTCCAATAGTTAAGGCTGAAGAGGAAGCTTTTCTGCCTTGGTTTCTCGAGGAGATTGAGTATCTTTGTAGCAAAGATGAAAGCACCTGCAGATTTTGCTGCTGCTACATGAACCCCGAACTGTTATTTTCTGGTAAAAACGAGTGCAAAATTGGTAACATTCTGGTTGCTTGCATGAAGAAGGTGAACCTATTGCATTCTCATTCGTGCATATGTGCCACCACTTGTAGCTTTCACCTGTTAAAATCGGGAGAAACTTCTCATTTACCCATTGCTTTTCAAGATAAACTTACAACTTGAATATGGGTTCTAAATTCTAATACCTATGAGAAGAGAATTGACATTTTACGCGTTTCTTGTAGAGTAATCATTGGACTTAAAATTTTAATCTAAATCGAGTGAGACGTAGATATATAGATGTATCTCACGTCTAACGTGGATATAGAGAAAACCAACTTTTTAGCTCTAATAAATATTTACCTTGATGGAAGGAAGTAAAGAAGATGAAGAGGACTAAAACTACTGCAAAGGACTTCATCTTTGGTTGAAATGGAGCAAATCTTATGGTGGTGGAACAAAGAGGAAGACAAAACAGTCCTCTGTAGTTACAAGGGGATTTAAAGACTTATTTTGTTAACAGTTACTAACTAAATGAAGCAATGGAGGAAATATATGAAATTAGAGAAGGAAAATCTACAGAAAACACTTGCTAATTTGATGAATTAATAAGGCTATATATACATATATTTTACCCAAAAAAGTTTTGTACATTTGAGAGAAGTAATAAGGCTAGATATATAGATGTAAGTTATGTGTTGTTAACTAGAATGGCAATAAGTTCATGACCTATCTACTTGAAATGTAAGTAACTAGATATTTCATGGTTTTTGGCCTGTTTGCATTACCCAATGCTTACCAGTTCTGCCATGTCAATATTATTAGTTAGAATTTTTTTGCATAAGTTGTGTTCATGTTGAACCTCATTTCTTTCCACTAAAACACGGACTTCTGACTGTATTAGGCTTCCAAATGTTAAATGTTATAAAGGAGAAATTCTTCTTCCCAAAGATTTGGTAAAAAACAACATGTGGCCCTTGTATGTCACGCGTCCATGGATAAAGAGTACAATTTTACAATCTGGGGTTCACTCTTATTTAAATACAAGAAGAAAAATGATAAAATAAACATAATGAAAATCTGAAATGCATGTGGCCAGAATGCTAGTTAGTTCTGAAATGCCATTGATTAAGTACAAAAGAAATTATTCAGCAGAATCCAAAATCTGAAATGCATGACTGAGGAGTGAGGACAATATCAGAAATTACACAGGTCAATATATTTGTCCAGACGGTAAGTAGGAATACCACAAGATTGTTTGTTCTATGCAGCAAGACCAACTCCTCAGTCATATCCAATTCACTTGGCAACATCCGTTGGAAGCTCCCAATCAAAGCAATGCACAAGTTGTGCTAACACTAGCTTCAATACTATGAGTCAATGCATTCCAGGGCAGATTCTTCGGCCAGAGCCGAGAGAGAAGCTGAAAGTGGCGGCCGCGAAGATCGATATTCTCCAACAAACCTTTCAGGGAAAAAATTCTCAGGATCAGTCCAGGCTTCAGGATCTCTTCCGATTGCCCATACATTTACAAAAACGCGTGACTTTTTCGGTATGTGATACGTGCTACAGTGCAATCTCCGTGGATTCATAAGGGATTAGAGGTGATACAGGATGGAGCTCAAGGTTTCTTTCACAACCATGTCTAAGTATCCAGGTTCTCCAAACCAGATTCTTCAACCTTCTGTCTAGTCCCACAACATTTTCCAACTCCTTTTGTACTTTCTTCATAACCTCAGGATGCTTGAAAAGTTCTGAAAGTGTCCACTCAATAGCTAAGGCTGAAGGATCTACTGCAGCTACAAGCATGTCCTGTTCATATTCATATCAAGGAAAAGAAAATTTAGAACGTTAAATTTGGCAATTGGATTCCAGTCCTACAATTTTAGGATTGCTTATCAAGAGTATGGCTTTGACGTGCTCTCGCTCGATTTTGTGCTCAGTTTCTTGTGATCCCATGAAACTCAGCATTACATCAACAAAGTCTTTGGTTCTATTTTCATCCTTGGATTGAACATGCTCGTCAATAATCTTTTCAAAGAAGTCATCAAACACCTTGGCAACTGCTTTCGCGCGCTTTGTCAGTCCCTGGAGATCAAGTGAAGCAATTTGAGGAATGTAATCATTCAAGTTGTTATGCCCAGGAAAATAAAGGGCTGACGTGGGAAAGTCACGTGAAGGGTAACCTGCTCCCGTCAGAGCAACACGCACACGTCAGACCTGCCAAATGACATGAAGCTCACACGCGTCCATTTTCCTGCAGTAAGTCGTGCAATGTCAGCTTGGGAAAAGGAAAATGGGACGTAAAGCCGGATTATATCCTGACAATCACACCAAACCATGGATTTAATGATGATTATACGCTTCAGTTTGATATAAAATGAAGAAGACCTCTTCATTAAAGGGATTCGACCATTTTTCATACAAAGAAATCTCTCTTTCTCTCCTGTAAACATTTTTACTTTTTCAACTTATGTAAGTCAGTCCGCAGTCGCGACCTGACCCACACTAACATCAATACAAATCAGTGGACGTAGGACTTACTACCTTAGCATCCGAATCACTTAAAAAACTCCCTTTGCATTTATTTCGCTTTATATATTCCATTCTCACGTGTATTCAACGGCCAATCAACATTTTCCATGTGAGAATTCGTTGGTGCTTAAATCGAGCATCAACACAAGTTACTAATGGCTGCCAATTTTACGGCCTCTTGAAACACAGTGTTGAATCTTCTCTCATCGAAATCTACATCTGCATATTTCTTCCCAAACACCATTCCACAAGTTAGGTCTGCACTGAGAGATGTGACTTTGGCATTTATATCAACAGCAACACCGGCACCAGCAGCCTCTTTTATGTGCTCAATCAAGAGATTGAGCTCTTCTTTCCTCATGCCCTGGTTCGAACTAATCTTATTTCTGCTTAGAAGTTCCAGCATGCAAATCTTACGCATGGTTCGCCAATAAGATCCATATGGAGAAAAGGCGAGGTTCCTTTGACCATAAGCCATGTGCTTTAAAGTATCAACAGGAGGCCTGCTGGCAAAATTGAGGTCATGAGTTTTCAGGAACTGTTCAGCAGCGTGAGGTGATGAGACGACAACAGTCGGAATCAAGCCCAAACGTAAGAACATGATGGAGCCATATTTTTCGGCAAGCTGATAAAAATCTCTGGGAGGAAACTTCCCCATCAAATGAAGGCTTCCCAAAATTGGGAACCCTCTTGGACCTGGAGGTAACCTTTTACTCCTTGTACTTCTTGCCCATTTCAATGATTGTAGAAAGAAGAAAAGAGTAAAGACTACTGCAAGTGAGGTCCATGCATGTCAAAGACATGATTATGATGCAACGTTTTTCCTATAAATTTTGCAGAGTCAAGAGGAGGAGCTGCTGCAGATAGTGAACTCAGTGGTTAGCTATTTATAGAATGTGACGGTTGGTTAACTCATTCTAATAAACATTATAAGATAAGTTTATACATGTTTTAATACAAAATAATATCTGCTTTAATTTTTCCCTTTCTAGTAGTTCTCAGGTCCAGACATAATCAAATTTTTAACATACATATTAAAGGGGAGTAACTACTCACTAGCTTTGATTTTCCGTTAAGTGTAAATGACATATTCCCACCCGAATTTTAGTGAAACCCCAAGTTAGACACCCTTGGTTGTATTTATTCCAAATTCTCACTTTTAAGCTAACACCATTAGTTTTATAGGTGGTCGGAAACGGTTAATAAGGTCAACAAGTGAGGGTATCAGTTTTATAGAGGACGTTACGAGGAGTTCAACGATGGTCTCGAAAGTGATTTTAGACTTCGGAATCAACAAAAAAAAGCCAAAAACCGTTGGTTTGGATGATGCTAACGTGGGCCACTTTTTACTAACATGAGTCATTCTTCAACCAAAGAAAACACAAGTGCACTTTAGCATGCCTTGATCCATTGTACTATAATGAAATGTTGAGAATCGGTTAAACTTTACACTATAGTGAAAATTTGAGAATCTGTTAGAATTTGGAATATATGGAATAAATATAACGTTATTTTAAAGGTAAAAATCTAGAATAAATACAATCCAGAGTATCAATAGTTCGCCAAACCTAGGGTGGGAATACCGAATATGTGGTTTGGTCTTCTATTAATTTTGCTTAGTTTTCTATGTTGGTTAGACTGTACTTGTGCTTCCTAGATTTGGCCTCACTGAAGTTTCTCTAGATGTATATTAAATTAGTTATCTTGTCATAGATCTCAAGACGTTGGTAGGAGAGATTTATTATAATATATCTTGCGCGATTTGAATTTGAGATTTTGACAGATAAATATTTAATATTTCCCTCCACTACTCAAATTAAACGAACACAATATCGAAATAATCAATAGGGAGAACACCATTTTCCCACCCAGGTTTGGCCAAATAACTTTCCCACCCCTTAGGTTTCAAAATGATCTTTTCCACCCATCAACTTTTAAAATGACATTTTCTCACCCAACGTTTTTGTTCTTATAATTTAGTGTAAATTTATATACAGATAATAAAATGACATAACTTCCATTAAACTATTTTTTGAATTTACTATTATATTCTTCTTCAATTAAAATTGATAAATAGATTTTAATATGAGTGGGAAAGTATCTTTTTGAAATTTAACGGTGCAAAATAGAAGAAGGCAAACCTTGGGTGGGAAAATGTTGTTCTCCCAAATCAGTAATGTTATGGTGTCAAGCACACCTTTTTTTTCATTGATGAACAATCAATGATAAATGCTTTTTTAGAATGTTGTGTAAAGTGAGTGGACCTGTCATGCCCCCCTTAAACTATTCATGAAATAGTTAATGAGCCGAGCTGAGTTTTAGGTTTAACGAGCTCGGCTCGTGAAAGAGGAATAATACTCAAGCCGAGTATGAGCCGAGCCACAGATTATATGACTCGACTCGGTTTATAAAGGTTTTGGCATATCTTAAGCCGGCTAGAGAGTTGGCTTATTGAGCCGAGTTCAAGCCGGCTCGCGAGCCAACTCCAAATAATTCAATTTTTTTTTTAATTTCAATTTTTTTTTTTTAAATTTGCTAGGCAACACGCATCTGATTGTCTGAATGTATGATTTTTTTGTTAAATTTTCACTTTTCATTTATTTTGTCAAACTAATTTATTTTTGTCAAACTGATTCATTTATTTTTCGCCATCCTCAAACTAAATTCTAAATTTTCACTTTTCATTTATTTTTTTTTAAATTTGCTGGGCAGCACGTAGGTCTGAATTTGATTGTCTGAATGTCCTCTCATGTCCTCATACATCACCCAACAATTAAACCTACTTAAAATAAACATTAAATGAAATGCTACTACTATTAAAATTTATCATTCAACATACTGTATGTACCACAAATTAAGTTAAGTAAACTAAAGATTTTTTGTTTAGTTCACTTGACTTAATTAAGTTTTCATCAAAACAAAATGGGGGGTTAGCATAACTATACATCAAGTGACATCCCCATCCATAAAATATATATATATAAATAACAGCAAAAGATAATTGGTTGCATGTCCATTGCATCCCCACTCCTCCTACAAACAAATTAATGTGAAACACGTTGAGTACAATTGTTATTTTATATAAACTGTAAAGATCAAAATGCAAACCTGAACACAAAACTAATAAATATAGACCTATAGAATCCTACAGCCACAGCCAATAACTCACAAGTGAATCAACCAATTTGCTGACTCCCATCACCTGACAGAACAGGAAGCTGAATCTTCAAGTAATCCTCCTCTTTCTAAAATGAAAAAGAGATAAAAATAATCTATAGGTTAGAATAAAGTAATTTTAAAAATTGAATTAAACAAAACATGTAAGCAATGAAACTTACTTTACACCCTTTCTTCACTTCATTCAAAGTGCGACACTGGTCACATCCATATAACAACATCTCCACCGTAGCTAGTGACAAAGAAGCTCGGTAGCTATCAATAACCTTGCTCCCAGCACTGGATGCAGACTCTGAAGCAACCGTAGTGATTGGGATGTCTACTATCTCACGAGCCATCATAGACAATATAGGAAACTTGGTTGAATTTGCCTTCCACCACTGTAAGGTATCAAATGAGTCATGATCCCCCACACACTTATGGCATCCCTCTCCCAAATAACAGTCCAACTCAGACTTACTAGGCTCAACAGTTTCAACCACGTCCAGAAAAGTGCTAAAATCATCCTAGGCCTCGGCTCCCTCAACCGCAACCACCTCACCAATGGCTCCATGTCCATACCCTTGTGATGTAGAACGGGCGATAGTCAAACCTTGATTAGCTTGAACATACTCCCCATATAACTCATACAATGCATCCCGGATCGTCATCATATTTGCCCGTCCTTCTGCCTCAGAATACATCTTAAGGAATGCCACTGAATAATCCTCATTTTCAACTGAGATCTAATACAACAGCCACCGACATCAACACATTACATTCTCCCCAATATTTATAAAAATTTTGTTTCATTTTCCTAACCATTACTCTAATAAAATCATCTTCAGATTCACTTTTACTATCCAACATACTTTTCACTGCACACACCTCCTTCAAGAATAAATTAGACGTCGGATAATCACTTCCTGAAATGAGTTTGGTTGGACCACTGAATATTTTTAAAATTTCGCAGACTTTCTCCACTTTCTCCCAATCCTCGTTACTCGAATTATTATGATAATTGATATCCCTCTTTTTCAATCTTGGAAAAACCTTTTTGAACTTAATTGTCATTGCTAACATTTCATATGTAGAATTCCACCTTGTTTTATAATGGAGAATAAGTTTCCAATATGGCAATTTAAGTTGTTGAACAATCTCAGAAAATACCTTTAGCCTACTTTTTGAACTGTTGATATACANTCTCATGTCCTCATACATCACCCAACAATTAAACCTACTTAAAATAAACATTAAATGAAATGCTATTGCTATTAAAATTTATCATTCAACATACTGTATGTACCACAAATTAAGTTAAGTAAACTAAAGATTTTTTGTTTAGTTCACTTGACTTAATTAAGTTTTCATCAAAACAAAATGGGGGGTTAGCATAACTATACATCAAGTGACATCCCCATCCATAAAAAAAAATATATAACAGCAAAAGATAATTGGTTGTATGTCCATTGTATCCCCACTCCTCCTACAAACAAATTAATATGAAACACATTGAGTACAATTGTTATTTTATATAAACTGTAAAGATCAAAATGCAAACTAAACACAAAACTAATAAATATAGACCTGCAGAATCCTACAGCCACAGCCAATAACTCATAGGTGAATCAACCAATTTGCTGACTCCCATCACCTGACAGAACAGGAAGCTGAGTCTCCAAGTGATCCTCCTCTTTCCAAAATGAAAAAGAGATAAAAATAATCTATAGGTTAGAATAAAGTAATTTTAAATATTGAATTAAACAAAACATGTAAGCAATGGAACTTACTTTACACCTTTTCTTCACTCCATTCAAAGTGCGACACCGGTCACATCCACATAACAACATCTCCACCGTAGCTAATGACAAAGAAGCTCGATAGCTATCAATAACCCTGCTCCCAGCACTGGATGCAGACTTTGAAGCAATCGTAGTGATTGGGATGTCTACTATCTCACGAGCCATCGTAGACAATATAGGAAACTTGGTTGAATTTGACTTTCACCACTGTAAGGCATCAAATGAGTCATGATCCCCCACACACTTATGGCATTCCTCTCCCAAATAACAGTCCAACTCAGACTTACTAGGCTCAACAGTTTCAACCATGTCCTAAAAAGTGCTAAAATCATCCCAAGCCTCGGCTCCCTCAACCGCAACCACCTCACCAATGGCTCCATGTCCATACCCTTGTGATGTAGAATGGGCGATAGTCACACCTTGATTAGCTTGAACATACTCCCCCTATAACTCATACAATGCATCCCGGATCATCATCATATTTGCCCGTCCTTCTGCCTCAGAATACATCTTAAGGAATACCCACTGAATATTCCTCATTTTCAACTGAGGATCTAATACAACAGCCACCGACATCAACACATTACATTCCCCCCAATATTTATCAAACTTTTGTTTCATTTTCCTAACCATTACTCTAATAAAATCATCTTTAGATTCACTTTTACTATCCAACATACTTTTCACTGCACACACCTCCTTCAAGAATAAATTAGACGTCGGATAATCACTTCTTGAAATGAGTTTGGT